CCGCCGGGGCGGGCGGCGCGCCGATGCTCCTTTTAGGGATGTTAAAGTTACATGCGGGGCCTGCAAGGCTAAAAAAAGAGAGAGAGAGAGAGAGAGAGAGAGAGAGAGAGAGAGAGAGAGAGAGAGAGAGCCCTGCGAAACCAAAACGGGGCGGCCTCTTCGGGCCTGGGCAGGCGGAAGGGCCAAACCCCCTCAGACGCCCCCCCCCCACCCACCGAGGCGAGACCAGATCTACATGCATAATGTAACTGCGCGCCTCGCTCAGCCTGGCCGAAGACCTGAGCCGCCTCGAGCAACCGCAGCCCCTCGGCCAGATCGCCGCTCAGGATTGCCGCCTGGGCCGCTGCGGCCGCAGCCAGCCGCTCCTGCGCATCGACCTTGACCCCCCGCGCGTGCTCGAGCGGCGGCACTCGGTCAGCGTCGCTCTTGACGGAGCCGACGCCTTGCAGCTGCCCCTCGCCCTCAACCTGGTCCACCGTCTGCGCGCCCACCTCGACGGACAGCTCCCCGATGAACCAGTCCCGCGTGCAAGCCTCCGCGCTGTTGTCGACCGTGCCCCCGACCAGCGCGCCCTGCTTCCTCGGCTCCTCCTGCTTCTCGGGGTCGTACCGGAACTTCCCCTTGCAGAAGGGAGCGTTGTCCAGGCCAAGCGCGTCTCCAACGCTCATGTCCGAGGCCAGTGCCCCCACCTTCTCAGCCTTGCTGTCTGGGGCGTACTCGCTGGCCTTTTCGGTCGGCTCCCCCATCTGCTTCGCCACTGGCTCAAGCAAGGACCTCTCCTTCAGCTCGTCCGTGGCCTTGCAGTTTGGGGCGCCCTCGATGTCCTTCATCCCCACATTCGCGCTCAGCACGCGCGGCATCTCCGACGCGCCCTCGGAGCAAGAGTCCCCGCTGCTGCCCTCCAGCACCTGCGTGCCTGCAGGCGGCGGGTCCCTCTCCAGGCCGCCACGGCCTCTCTTGCGCTGCCCGCGGACGCGCCTCTTGGCCTCCGCCGCCGTCGCAGGCGCCGCCGCCGCCCCGCCCCCGAAGCCCGCGTGGAGTGCCCAGTGGCGGAATGCGCGGCAGGCCCCAGAGGGCTGGGCCCGCGCCCCGTCGCGCCCTGCGGCGACGTGGAGCCGCAGGTGCGGCCGTGCGAGCTCCTCGCGCACTGCCACCTGCTTGTCGATCTCGCCGTCGTCGCTGTCGCCTTCAGCCAGCACCTCCGCGCACGTGCGGATGGCCGCCGCCACCGCGGCCGCCACAAACTGGCGGGTGCCGCCTCCAGCCGCTGCCCCATGTGCCGCGGCCTGCACGAGCGGCGCCATCGCCGCCAGCAGCCTGCGCTCGCCCCCCCGCGGGGGCGGGACCGTAGCCACCGCCTGGGCCATGGCCGCGGCAAGAGGATAACGCTTCCCCCTGAGCAGGCGAGAAGCGCAGAACCCAACGCTGCCGCCCGCCAGGCGCCCAAGGCAGGCTTGAGCCAAGATGGCTACGTAGGGATGCGGATCTGGCCTGGTGTGGTCTGTCCAGCTGTCCTGGCTGGTCCTGGGGGGTCCTGGGGGGTCCTGGGGGGTCCTGGGGGGTCCTCGCGGGTCCAGACGGGTCCTGGAAGGTCCTGGGAGGTCCTGGGGAGTCCTGGGGGGTCCTGGGGGGTCATGGGGGGTCCTGGTTGGTCCTGGCTGGTCCTGGGGATCCCTGGGGGCCCCAGCGGGTCCTGGGGGGTCCTGCGGGGTTCTGGGGGGTCCGCCACTTGGGAGGTCCTGGGGGGTCCTGGGGGGTGGGAGGTCCTGGGGGGTCCTGGCGGGTTCCTCGGAGGTCCTGGGGGGTCCTGGATGTTCCTGGGGGGGGGGGTCCTGGAGGGTCCGAAGGGGGTTCCGGGCGAGTCCTGGGGGGGCCCAGGCCGCTCTCGTCTTCGTCGTCGTCACCGTCGTCGACCTCAGTTCTAAAGACGCTTCGCTTTGAAATAATTTGGGAGGCCCTTCAGCAGACTTCGGCAGGCCTTCGGTGCCCTTTGGAGGAAGCTCCTCGGAGGGGAGGCCTTCGGGGGGGCCTTCACGGAGGCCTTCGCGGCGCCTTCGGGGGGGCTTCGCGGGGGCCTGCGGGGGGGCCTCCAGGAGGTCCTTCGGGGAGGGGTTCGGATGCCTTCGGGAAATACTAGAAAATGTCTTTGAACCGACCCGACCGAACTGGAATCCCCTGGCCGAACCGACCGGCCGAACCGGACCGAACCCGCCGAACCGAGCGGCCGAACTGGACCGGCCGAACCGGACTGGCCGAACCGAAATGGATGGACCGAACCGGACGGCGATCTGAACCGGACCGGTCGAACCGATACGAAAACGCGCCGAACCCGACCGAACCGAACCGATTCGGGGTCATCATGGTATCAGCATCATCGTCAGCATGGCCATCATCATCATCATCATCATCATCATCATCATCATCATCATCATCATCATCATCATCGTCGTCATCGTCGTCATCATCATCATCATCATCAGCATCAGCACCACCAGCAGCATCACCATCACGACCACCATCACCACCACCACCACCATCATCATCAGCAGCAGCAGCACCATCATCAGCATCATCACCACCACCACCACCACCATCATCATCATCATCATTAGCAGCATCATCATCACCACCATTATCATCATCACCAGCAGCAGCATCATCATCGTCATCACAATCATCATCAGCAGCATAATTATGATCATCGTCACCCTACCATCGTCAACATCGTTATCATCGTATTCAACGTGATCACCATCATCATCATCATAAACCTCATCATCATCGCCATCAGCATCATCACCATCTTCATCATCAGCATCAACAGCATCGTTCTAATCATGCTCATCTGTCCCAAGACGCCGAGCAGGCACGAACTGGTGCCCCCTCGAAGGAGAGCCGCCGAGCATTCTGAGCTGGCACGATGGCAAGACTTGTCGCGGGCAGCTGGATTATTTGACATGGATCGTGCCCTCACAGCAAGCGCGCAAGAGCTTCGAATGAGTTCGACATGCGCGCGCAAGATGCCCGCTTGGTCGAATGTATTGAACATGTTGAAACTTTCTTCAGGACTCGCCAGAGTTCGCGCAAGCATGCTCTGAAAGTGATGTTGCTACACAATGTGTGTTCTATGCGTTCGGGAGAAATGGCTCACAGCACTACGAACCCCTGATGTTTTGTTTACGGATCTCGGCATGCGCGCGCGCCGACGCGCGCGTATGCTCTTCGTCACTTATTGTGCGAAAAGGTTCTCCATGATTGATAAGTGTTGGCAAATGAGTGTGCACGCATCGCTTTTGCAAGGGATGAAAGGGGGGCCGACACCGATTTGGTTGGAATGGTCTGATTTCGTAGCTAAACCGAACAGCATCGAATCAAAACTGCGCATCCCCAGGGCGAGGGATACATACGGCCTCGGGCGGTGGATGCGATTCCACTCTTGGATACCAGAACCTGGGTGGAGTGAGGTATGGGCCAGACTCTATCTAAGTAACGTGCATGGTGCAATTTGCGCGTTTCAGTGAACGAGGCTCGCACAATCAGAACTGCGACCAACACGCGGCGGCCACGGGCGGCGGCGAGGGGCCGCGACGGGCCAGCCAGACCGCCAGACAGGCCCAGACGGGCGGCGGCGCCGGGCGGCGACAAGCCGGCCGGCGGCTGGACCGCAAGCCAGGCCGAATTCCTCAGAAGACACATCCGCCGACCCTGTCGGCGAGTGTGAGACGTTTTTCCGTATGAGTCGTCGTCGTCGCCGTCGCCGCTCCCCCCGGGAGGAGGAGGAGGAGGAGGAGGAGGAGGAGGAGGAGGAGGAGGAGGAGGAGGAGGAGGAGGAGGAGGAGGAGGAGGGGGAGGGGGAGGGGGAGGAGGAGAGGGAGGAGGGGGGGGAGGAGGAGGAAGGGGAGGGGGGAGGAGGAGCTTCCTGGGCCCTCCTCCTCGAGCGATCCAGCCAGACGGACGCCAAACAACGTCGAACATAATCCGAAGGGGAGCCCCTTCTCGCTGATCCTGTCCCTGCCAGCCCCAGGGGGGCGTCGCCGAGGGGGGGGGGTCCCGATGGGGTTCCCGGTGGGGTCCCGGGTGGGGCCCCGGGCGTCGTGGCCTCCCCCCCAGGCGGTCCCCCGTGGACAAGGGGTGGAGGGAGGACGGTCCCCTGGCTGGCAGGGTCATGGGCCTGTTTCCCACCACCACCACAAGTTGGAGGGAGGAAGGAGGAGGAGGAGGACGAGGAGGAGGAGGACCCCCTCCCCCTCCTATTTTCTGGTGGCGGTGGTGGGAAGCAGGCCCGTCACAGGGGATGCTCGAGGCCCCTCCCCCCGCTTCCCCGGTGGACTTCAGGGGACCACCACCATCCCCCCCTACTCCCAGACCCGCCTCCCAGAGGTCCGCTCCTCGTGCACTCTCATCGGCTGCCGCGCGGTGCTCATTTCCCCGCGTGCCTCCAGGAGTCCTCGGAGCCGCCACGAAGCGGCTCGAAGCGACCAGGCAGCTTCCCAAGAAGTCCCCCGAGAGGCCCCCGAACAGAGCCTGACAGTACTGGGCTTCCAAGACAGCCCCAATATAGCTCCAGAGAGCGTCAGCGTCGTCGTCGTCGTTCCCCTTCAGGGTCGGCGGCACCGGCCGCACGACCTTCCCAATACGATGCCCTCAGTGCAGGGAGTTGGAGAGTGATACCCACCCACCCCGCAAAGAAGAAAAACCAAGAAGAGGGAGAAGGAGGAGGAGGAGGAGGAAGGAGGAGGGAGGAGGGAGCATAAGGAGAAGGAGAGGGCATTCTGGGAAAACAAGAACCCCACTCAGGATGTGGGGAACAATACCCTCCACTGAGGATGTGGGAAACACACACACACACAACCAGCACAACCAACACACACACTATTATTGATCTGCAGGGCGAGAGCGAGCCTCTTCCGCTAAAAGCTCCGCGGGACGCGCACACACACAAACACACACACACACACACACACACACACACACCTGACGGTTGCGCCCCGCCCCCCGACGTCCAACTGCATCGGGTGCCGCTGCATCTGGTGCCGCTGCGTCAGCCTGGGGTCCTCCGCGCGGCGCTTCTTCTCCCCAAAAATGTGTGCGTAACAATCGGCGGCGCGCCAAGGCAAACTGGGCGATGGGGGTTCGGCACGCTAAGAAGGCACGAGGGCTTATCCGAAAGCCGTGGGGCCTGCTTACAAGCGGCGTACGGTAAGGAAGGCGCTCGAGAGCACTCGGGATGAACCGGAGCGCCTGCAGTTGCAGCTGTGGCGGTCGTGTGCTGCCGGGGAGCTGCGCCTTTCGTTCACATCATGCCCCCCCCCCCGCGTTGCCCCACCCCCCTCGCCCGCGCCGCCGCCAAACGTGCAGAAGGAAAGCCATAAGGTACCGACACCGCTACATCCCCGGACCTCTCCAGGGGCGCGTTCTGAGAAGGACTTCGGGGCGAATCCAGCGGTGGCGAAGAGGGCCTCCCAGGAGGCCCAAAAAGCGGAAAACGGAGCGAAGGGTACCCATCGGTCGGAAGAAGTAGGTAGAAGCATGAAGCAGGAAAGCGTTGAAAGTAGACTGGGCCCCGTTCGCCCCCAGAGGAGGACGGAAAAGGTGAGGCCCCTCGATCATCGAAGCAGGAGGGCGAAAGTAGATTGGAACCTGTGAATCCCACGAGAACCACTCTCACGAAAATGTGAAGCCCCTCGATCATCGAAATGGGAGGGCGGTGAGAGTAGATTTGGACCCTGTGGATCCCACAAGAGCCACTCTCGACGACCGATGGGCAGCGGTGTGGCCACCTCTTACCTCCTCTGCAGGGCACCGCGGAACAGCAGTCCCGCCGCGGGCACGTCGGGGCGCGGCCTCGTTGGCCCCGAGGGTGGGCCGCCGCTGGGCCCCCCACGGGGCGAGGGGCTCAACGATAGCGGGGGGGGGGACGGGCAGCGGTAGGGGCACAGCGGCCTGGAAGCGGCGATGCGTCGCCGAAGGATCGGCGGTCTGCACCCGACAGCGAGTCCGCACGCTCCTGGGCGGGGCAGGGCTGGCAGAGCCCTTCCCGCGATCCGTGGGCGATTGGGGATCGATGCATCCCCCCCCCTATGCCTATCCCACTCGATCGTCGCCACTGACGGGGGCTCAGAAGGACGGGGTCGTGGGCTCCGGGCGCCTCCTCCGTGGAGACCTCGTGACACGGCGCCTCCTCCTCCTTCTCCTTCTCCTCCTCTTCTCCTCCTCCTCCTCCTCCCCCTCCTCCTCCTCTACCACCTCCTCCTCCTCCTCCTCTTCTCCTCCTCCTCTTCTCCTCCTCCTCCTCCTCCTCTACCACTTCCTCCTCCTCCGCCTCCTCCTCCTCCGTAGCCATTTTGGCTCAAGAATGCCGCACCTGAGGGCTCCGCGCCCTCGTGCCGAACTGGAAGCTGCTAGTCCGCAGCAGTGCCAAGGCCTTGTGCCTGACAGCTTTTGCCAGTACTGCACACGGGCCTCTGGCAGCCCATCTTTCGTGTGCTCCTGACGGAGCTTGTTGCTACGGCGCTGCGATGGCCCCCGCCCCGTGGCGTATCCCCGACGATGCGGAGGAATCCTGGACGAGGCAACCCTGGATCCGAGTTCCGCCTGGGGGCGCCAAGGCTGGGCATATTCGTGGCGCTCGGCTTTACACTGTGTGCTCTTGTGGTCACTGGACTTGGGATGACCTCCTGGCCAAGAGGCACAATCTCTGCGTCGGATGCCAGTCCCAGTGCCACCCGCTCAGCTCCTCTGTCGGCGGCGGCGGCCAGATGCTCACGTACACCGGTGCTGAGGAGCCTGGGTGGGGTGATGGAGGCAGCAAGACCAAGGGTCGCTGGCGCAAGGGTACTCAGGCGCTGCAGGTGCAGCAGGGCCCCTCCGAGGCCATCCCTCCTCAAGCTCTTGCGGCTGTCAAGGAGGCTGCTTCGCACCTCGCGCCCGACCTTGCCCAGAAGTTGCTCGCCCAATTCGTGCCCAAACCTCCGCCCCAGCCCCAGGCTACTCCTCAGGCTGAGTGGCAACGTGCATCTCAGGCCAAGAAGGCGTCCAAGGAGAAGCTCGACAAGGCCCTGGCGCGCCGTGCGGCGCTGGACAAGGAGGCCAGTGACTTGGACAAGCACCTTGACGAGCTCATGGCGAGGGATCTGGAGAACGCTGACATTCTTGAGCAGGCCACTCGTAGGCTGGCGGTCGGAGTTCTCAAGGCTGCTGAGCCCAGTCCCAGCAAGAACGCCATCTCCCTCGACGACCTCTTCAAAGACTCCGCTGAGGAGATCAAGCTCGACTTTGGTGAAGAGCTGGACGTCTCTGGGCCAGCCTTTTCTGCCGAGGACCGCGAGGGATTTGAGAAGGTTAAGCATGAGCAGTCCCAGCAGGTCAAGACCCAGCGCAAGACTACGGATGGTGCGGTTGCAGCAGGCGTCGAGGCTCCTGAAGGTGCGGGCAGCCAGAGCGCCGCCTCCTCTCAGGCGCCTGCGGCTGACGCGCCGAAGGCCGCCCCAGTGGCTGCTGTGGCCCCTGCCGAGCCGACCGATAAGGAGAAGAGGATCGAGAAGGTGCGCGCTGACACTCTTGCACGGGCTGAGGCTGCTGCTGCTCGGGCCAAGGTCGAGACTCGCGAGTCGGGCCCCTAGCTCTGCTGGCGATGGTCATGCGTGTGACAGCTGTTATATCTGCAGCTCTCCTGGCGGTGTTCTCTCAAGATCGGCCTCCTCATGTTCACTCTCCTCTGTGCCGTCCTCTTCGACGGCAGGCGGCTCCTTGTCGCTCCCGCTTTTGACGACCTCTACTGGTGCTACTACGTCCTCGTCGGTTTCATACGACGGGCGCTCACTCACCGCGCCTGCGAAGGCAATGACCCCGCGGACGGTGCCTGCTGTAGGTTGGCCAGGCCATGACCTCAGCACGGATTCCCGCGGCGCGAGTCTTGCTGGAGGCTCGGTAGACGGCGCCACATGTGTCGGGTTCGTACGACGGGGGCTCACTCACCGTGCCTGCGAAGGCAATGACCCCGCGGACGGTGCCCGCTGCAGGTTGGCTCTGCCAAGATCGCAGCTTGGTTTCCCGCGGCGCGAGTCTTGCTGGAGGCTCGGCAGACGACGCCACATGTGCTTGCGGCACGGCCACTACTGCGTCGATGGCGGCGCCTACTGCTTCGGGCGCCACGGCGACCTCGGCCCCGTGCTCGACCTCAACGGCAGGCAGGCGTTTGCGCTGGCTCCAGAAGGCGTGTGATGCGGGAGGCGCCACTGGAGAGGGGACGGCCCCTGGCTCCCAAGGGTGCGCAGTCCTGCGGGAGCCCGTGGGGCACACCGCGAACCCTGGCCTCACTTGTAAGGACCAGGACCCTGAACGGCGTGAGGCCATTCGTCAGCGTCTTATCATGGAGCGCCGTCTTCGATTATACACTAACTTCTGGCTCCAGGACCCGAGTTTGTTGGATGAGCCCGCCAACCAAGATTACTGGATGCGCCTGTGTGTCACTTATGTTGCCGACTTGCTTACCCAGGGTGTTTGCGATCCTCTCGTCTTGGAGCAGGCGGCTCGGGCTGACATTGAGAACTTGGCTGTTGTGAGGCGGGACATGGCGCGCGACATCTGTCTTTCGGCCTGGGGGTCCAGAAGGAGTGTGAGGGCTCGCTACCATAACAATATGCGTTTGCTTTCGCAGTCAGACCCTGATGCATGGGAAGAGGAACGTCGTCGCCATGCCCGTTCATTGATCCTCGCTGAGCGTGAGTTTGACACCTCCAATCGTGCCTCTGGCCCAGGCACTATCGTAGCTACTGGTGGATCGCCTGTCTGTGCTTCTGGGAATCCTGGTTCTACAGGCTCATTGGCCGCAGGGCAGTCGAACCCTTCCTTGCGGCCCACGGGGTTGGAGCAATCGCCTTGTGGTGCCCCGAGTGAATCAGGCGGCGGCCCTGTTTTGCTGGAGTCGCATGACGATGGGAGTCAGGGGCCTGGGCCCGACCCTGGCAGTGACACCGCCCCACAGCGTTCCCTGTCCATTGTCTACTCCAACATCAGCGTGTGGGGCCTAACCGCTTGCAGGTGGGTTGCAGCATGCTCGGCAGACATCATCATTTTTGTCGAGCACAGGATGCGCGGTTCCAAGTACCAGGCGATGGCCAAGAAGCTGCACAAGCTGGGCTGGAAGGTTGTGGCTCAGGCCGCTGAGCCCACGCTCGCTGATGATGCTTCGCCAGGTGTTCTGGCCGCCGCGCGTTCTCATCTTGGGCTCCCACAGTTACCGTGCGAGGCGGGTGAGTGGACTACGGCTGGAACGGCTCGGTGGTTGATGTGTACCTTGAAGCTTCGTAAGGTTTCCCTCACCATTGTCCCTGTCTACTTGGTCACGGGGGGTGAGCTCAGTGGCCAGAACCTCGAGCTGCTGGCGGACCTCGGCGCCCATCTGAGCGCGGCTGGAGTTCCCGCCTTTGTGGTGGGCGACTGGCAAGTTGACCAGAGTGTGCTCGAGGAGTCAGGATGGCTGGAGCCGCTCGGCCTCGTCCCTGTTCCTATGCCTGGTGTTTCTGTCACGCGCACTGGGGTCTCCACCAGTCGGATCGATTACGCCTTGGTCTCTGCTAGCTTCTCTAGTGCCGTCCAGTTTAGGTCGCTTGTTCCAGTGCCTTGGGGCACTCACGCCGCTTTGGGGTTTCGGGTTTTGGCTTCTCCCAATGCCATCATGGTTTGGAAGGCCATGCGACCTCAGCCCATTCCCGTCAAAGGCGTAGCTGCCCCTGTTGAAGCCTGGCCGCACTTCCTGGCGCGCGCGCAGCTGCTGCAACGTAAGCGGCCAGACTTCTCCAAGGCCAACGATGCCGCTGTCAGCCTTCTCAAGCTCGAGCATGACAACATCCAGGTCTCTCTCGATGTAGGTGCCCAGTTGTCTACCTGGATTGTTGATCTGGAGCTAGAGGCCTTTCCGAAGCTTGGTTTGGCCCAGGATCAGGTTTTCCAGTTTATAGGTCGTTGTCAGGAGCCCAGGCTTCGTTTGGTGCCCCTCGCGGCCGCCCAGGTTGAGGGGCCCTGCCAGGCAGACCGTGACGCCCGTTTCTGG